ATGGCAGGAGAGCCAAGCGATGGCTGCCCGATGGCGGCAGTTGGCACCCTGGAACAGGTTCCTTGCTTTGCTCTGAGAAATAAAACCTTTGGTTCAGGCTGCTGCAGAAAGGCCTACGGGAATTTCCCCAGGGGCGGTTAGAGACCGAGCGCAGGGTGACCCCTTTTGCCCGCTGAATCGTTTGCCGCTGAAGGGCTCCTCTGGCCCTCCCAGTGAGCCCATGCCAGGCACCTGAAGTGCGGGAAAGGGGCGTGGCCGAGCTGCCGTAGGGTTCCGTTTCTCCCCCACCCCGTGGCCCATCGCCTGATGCATCAAGCGCTTAGCGACAGAGTTGCATCATCGTCATCATCATCCTCTCTCAGGTTTCTGATTGGCCTGACAGGCCCGAGGTCAGTCGGAGGCCCCCTCCATACACCTAGCTGGCCTTTGCTATACGGCTGGCTTCGTGAGGTGTGGCCGGCATCCACCTTGACCGCTCGCTTGGGAGGGCTGTGCTGGGACTGGCCGCTGAGGGGAACCAAGACGGGCAGGGAACCTTTGGAGCCCCTTGGCTCTTGTGCGGGTCAGCTGTGCTGGATACGCCTAGGCCTATTTTTTTTTTTAATCCCTTTTAATATTTTTGTACTTTAGTTGAATAACTATAATTTTTATCTCATCATGGATCTTGCCTTCGTTTGACCTCAGAGCCTTCTTCCAGAGCCTTGGCCTTTGACCGTTCTGTGTTTGGGAACTCAGTCTGCGGTCCCGCTCTGCAGGGCTGATTTTTCTTAATTCCCTGGGAAGCCGGGAGACTTGTCCTTTCCCTCCCGGGCTTTTGGGATAGACCGAGAAGACTGGTGGCACCCACCAAGACTAGGGTCCCTCTCTGGTATTTTGTAACTTTGGTTGGCTGCAGCCCCTCTTCTGCACCAAAAGTCCTTACCCTGGGTTGGGAGGGGGACTTTTGACAGTGGGTCCCAGTGGGCCATGCCGGGCTTGAAAGGCCACCCCCAGCACCTTGAATTGCATTTGGGGAACAGACTGGCAGCCAAGGAAGCGGCTGCAACGTGGGCAGGGTCTGTTCCGGGCAGCTTCCCCCCCCCCCCCCCCCCCAGAACCGCGCCGGCGGCTCGTTGGCCTCTGGGTAGCTCCCCGCAGAGCGCACTGCAGCACTTCACCCGCGAGGTCACGGAAGCCTGGACCCCCGGTGCCTCTGGGGGGAGCTGAAGGCTTCTCCTCCTCTCTCCACAGACCCCTCTGCACTTGGCAGTGATCACCCAGCAGCCCCGGGTGGCCGCCTACCTGCTGCAGGCTGGGGCCGACCCCACCTTGCTGGACCGCTACGGGAACTCCGTGCTGCACCTGGCTCTGCAGGCAGGGGACCAGGAGATGCTGAGGACCCTCTCCCGCCACCTGGGCCCCCACCTCCTCCACCTCCTCCTGGAGACACCTAACTACTCTGGTGAGTGGAGGGGGTTGGCGGGGGGGTCTGGTGCCTCTGGGTCTCACGCCAAGGGGGCAGCCGGCTGAGTGGTGAGGAGGAGGAGGAGGCGAGCGGCAGGCCCGTTTCTGGTGCTGCAGAAAGGAAGGAGGGGGCGACCAGCAGCCTTTCCTCGTGTCCCTCCAGGCCTTTTCCCCGTGCACCTCGCCGTGAAGCGCAAGAGCCTGGCCTGCCTGGAGCTGCTGGTGGAGAAGGGAGCCGACGTGAATGCGGGAGAGCGGCAGAGTGGCCGGACGCCTTTGCACCTGGCGGTGGAGATGGAGGACCTGACACTGGCCTCACACTTGCTGAAGAAGGTGGGCGTGGCGAGGGGGGGGCAGGGGGGGCCGTGGGAGCAGGGGGGGCGGGCTCTGGTTCTGCAGTTTACCTCCACCAGGGGGGGGGCACATTTGGTGTAGTGCGCAGAGGACTCTGATCTGGGAGAACCGGGTTCGATTCCCCACTCCTCCTCCACTTGCATCTGCCGCATGACCTTGGGCAAGCCCTAGTTCTGTCAGAGCTGTTCTCTCAAGGGCAGTTTCTGTCAAGAGCTCTCTCAGCCCCACCTACCTCACCAGGTGTCTGTTGTGCGGAGGGGAAGGGAGAGGAGTTTGTAAGCCGCTCTGAGACACCTTTGGGTAGTGAAGGGCCATGGGGTATAAATCCAATCTCCTCTTCTCTTCTTCTTCATGTAGGGGAGGGCCTGTGAATTCCCTGTGCCTTTCCCGCCCATAGCTGAGCTTCCAGCATATCCCCATAAGAAAGGCGTGGCCTCTTCTGCAGGGGTTAGGCCAGACTATGAGTGGGCCACGGGAGGGGCGGGGCTGCAGAAGAGACCCTCCCTGGTCCCCCCTCCATGCAGGAGCACCGCCTGGGCGTCTGATGCGGGGGGCCCTCTGGGCTCGGGTTGGGGGATGCGGGTGCTTCTTGCTCGAGGCATCCCTCCCCGGCGAGAGTCAGCCGTGTGCCCTGAATCTTCCACCGGGTGTGCTTTGCCTGCCTCTCACCTGCTGCTGTTCTTCTCCCAAGCTGGGGGCTGACGTGAACGCCCGCACCTCTGCCGGGAACACCCCTCTCCACTTAGCAGCCGGGATGGGCTCCCCGATTCTGACGAAGCTGCTCATCAACGCAGGTAATGTGCTGCGTGGTGTTGGCCACCCACCAGTCTCCAAGCTTGTTTTTCTCCTTTGGATCGGTACCCTCTTCTTCCCCAGTGGGAGATGTGTGAAGTCAGTTCACAGACCCACTAAAGCCCAGATAAATCTTCTGGTGTAGGGGTTTTGTTTTTAATTTTTTTTTTGCCCCACTGGAAACAGTGTTAGTGTAGCGCTGCCTGTGCCTGCCTCCCCAGGGGCGGACGTTGCGTGTGAGAACGACGAGCCCGTCTTGGCCTCTTCTCCTGGCCCAAGCAGTGATGCTGAAGCGGAGGAAGAGGAGGAGTGGCTCATGCAGCTGGGCGAGTCGTGCCCGGGCACGCGGGCAGAAGGGGACGGGCACCACCCCTCGGGCAGAGGCCGTGAGAGCCACGAGCACCCCCCCCTCGGGCCGGGCCGGGGACACACCCCATTGGACCTGACTCGCAGCCAGAAGGTATGTGGCGGGTGTTCGCCCCGAGACGACTGGCAGCAGCCGCCCCCTCTGCAGGAGCAGGCGGCCTTCTGGCTAGCCACCCACCTGGCGCCCCGGTCAGGTCTTCCTTGGGGGCGCCGAGGTTCTGTGGGCACAGCTGCGGTGGCGGCACCCAGTGGCTCCTCTTTGTGTGCCCGTTTGCGCACTGCAGGTGGGGTGGCTTGGGGTGGCCTTGCACACCTCGGGAGGAGGCTCCTTCCAGCAAGCACTTTGGGGAGCCCCTCGAGACACAACAGGACTCCTTTCCCTTCAGGTGAAGGATATTTTGCTGGAGGCCTCCCTGCGGAGCCCTGGCCAGACGCCAGAGGCCACCTCTCCGAGCCCAGGTGGGTGATGGGCCTGTTCTGCCGGGGGCCCGTCAGGCACGAGTCTGGCTTGGGCTTGTGCCGGGTGAGCGCCGGCCCACCTCCTCCCCGAGTTCACTCTCGGGAGCAGGGTCGGGGGTGGGTGGGGGAGGCGCGCGTGTCGTGTGTTGTGGCCTCTCACCGTTCCCCTCTCTCCTCCGCCTCAGGGGGGAGCCTCCTGGCCCTGGACAGCAGCAGCCTCCAGATTGTCGAGCGGCTCCTGAACCGGGACTGCCCCGGTGCCGACTGGCGGGAGCTGGCCAAGAGGTTGGGCCTCTGCAGTCTGGTGGAGACCTACAAAGGTGCCGCTTCTCCCAGCAGGAGACTCCTGCAGAGCTATGAGGTCAGCAGGCCCCCCCTCCCCCCTCCCCTCCCCTTTGTAAGCCGCTCTGAGACACCTTTGGGTAGTGAAGGGCCATGGGGTATAAATCCAATCTCCTCTTCTCTTCTTCTTCATGTAGGGGAGGGCCTGTGAATTCCCTGTGCCTTTCCCGCCCATAGCTGAGCTTCCAGCATATCCCCATAAGAAAGGCGTGGCCTCTTCTGCAGGGGTTAGGCCAGACTATGAGTGGGCCACGGGAGGGGCGGGGCTGCAGAAGAGACCCTCCCTGGTCCCCCCTCCATGCAGGAGCACCGCCTGGGCGTCTGATGCGGGGGGCCCTCTGGGCTCGGGTTGGGGGATGCGGGTGCTTCTTGCTCGAGGCATCCCTCCCCGGCGAGAGTCAGCCGTGTGCCCTGAATCTTCCACCGGGTGTGCTTTGCCTGCCTCTCACCTGCTGCTGTTCTTCTCCCAAGCTGGGGGCTGACGTGAACGCCCGCACCTCTGCCGGGAACACCCCTCTCCACTTAGCAGCCGGGATGGGCTCCCCGATTCTGACGAAGCTGCTCATCAACGCAGGTAATGTGCTGCGTGGTGTTGGCCACCCACCAGTCTCCAAGCTTGTTTTTCTCCTTTGGATCGGTACCCTCTTCTTCCCCAGTGGGAGATGTGTGAAGTCAGTTCACAGACCCACTAAAGCCCAGATAAATCTTCTGGTGTAGGGGTTTTGTTTTTAATTTTTTTTTTGCCCCACTGGAAACAGTGTTAGTGTAGCGCTGCCTGTGCCTGCCTCCCCAGGGGCGGACGTTGCGTGTGAGAACGACGAGCCCGTCTTGGCCTCTTCTCCTGGCCCAAGCAGTGATGCTGAAGCGGAGGAAGAGGAGGAGTGGCTCATGCAGCTGGGCGAGTCGTGCCCGGGCACGCGGGCAGAAGGGGACGGGCACCACCCCTCGGGCAGAGGCCGTGAGAGCCACGAGCACCCCCCCCTCGGGCCGGGCCGGGGACACACCCCATTGGACCTGACTCGCAGCCAGAAGGTATGTGGCGGGTGTTCGCCCCGAGACGACTGGCAGCAGCCGCCCCCTCTGCAGGAGCAGGCGGCCTTCTGGCTAGCCACCCACCTGGCGCCCCGGTCAGGTCTTCCTTGGGGGCGCCGAGGTTCTGTGGGCACAGCTGCGGTGGCGGCACCCAGTGGCTCCTCTTTGTGTGCCCGTTTGCGCACTGCAGGTGGGGTGGCTTGGGGTGGCCTTGCACACCTCGGGAGGAGGCTCCTTCCAGCAAGCACTTTGGGGAGCCCCTCGAGACACAACAGGACTCCTTTCCCTTCAGGTGAAGGATATTTTGCTGGAGGCCTCCCTGCGGAGCCCTGGCCAGACGCCAGAGGCCACCTCTCCGAGCCCAGGTGGGTGATGGGCCTGTTCTGCCGGGGGCCCGTCAGGCACGAGTCTGGCTGGGGCGTGTGCCGGGTGAGCGCCGGCCCACCTCCTCCCCGAGTTCACTCTCGGGAGCAGGGTCGGGGGTGGGTGGGGGAGGCGCGCGTGTCGTGTGTTGTGGCCTCTCACCGTTCCCCTCTCTCCTCCGCCTCAGGGGGGAGCCTCCTGGCCCTGGACAGCAGCAGCCTCCAGATTGTCGAGCGGCTCCTGAACCGGGACTGCCCCGGTGCCGACTGGCGGGAGCTGGCCAAGAGGTTGGGCCTCTGCAGTCTGGTGGAGACCTACAAAGGTGCCGCTTCTCCCAGCAGGAGACTCCTGCAGAGCTATGAGGTCAGCAGGCCCCCCCTCCCCCCTCCCCTCCCCTCCCCCCGGTGGGGGTGCGCTTCTGACCCTCCTGTGCCTGTCTCTCCTCAGCTGGCGGGGGGCAGCCTTCGGGGCCTGCTCGATGCCCTTGACTCGATGGGGCTGGCCGAGGAAGTGAGGCTGCTGGGGAGGCCGGACACCTCCGTCAAGTCGCAGAGTTCAGGTAAAGCCACCAAAGGGGAGGGAGGGAGGGAGGGAGGCTGCCGGTGGGTCGGGAAGGGCTGCCCAAGACCCCCTGCTGACATTCTCTGGCCCTCCGCAGAGCTAAAGGAAGACAGCGCTTACGGGAGCCAGTCCGTGGAGGAGGAGGAGGAGGAGGAGGACACCGCCTTGCCTGCCAGGCTGAAGCCAGCCTCATCCGTGGATCCGCCGGCTCTGTTGCCGCACACCCAGCAGGAGCAGGTGCACTGATGTTGGACAAGCAGGGCTCTGCCAGACCGTGGGGGG